TTTCTTTTTTTTTTTTTTTTTGAGACAAAGTCTCACTTTGTTGCCCTTGGTAGAGTGTTGTGGCCTCAAAGTTCACAGCAACCTCAAACTCTCAGGTTCAAGAGATCCTCATCTTAGCCTCCCAAGTAGGCAGGACTACAGGCACCCACAACGACACTGGGTGGGCTACTTTTTAGAGATGGGGTCTTGCTCTTGTTCAGGCTGGTCTTTTTGAGACAGAGCCTCAAGCTGTCCCCCTGGGTAGAGTGCCATGGCATCACAACTCATAGCAATCTCCAACTCCTGGGCTCCAGCCAGTCTCCTGCCTCCGCCTACCAAGTAGCTGGGACCACAGTCGCCTGCCACAACACTTGGCTATTTTTTTTTTTTTTTTGGTTTCAGCCATCATTGTTGTTTGGCGGGGCCGGGCTGGATTTGAAGCCACCACCTTAGGCGTATGTGGCTGGCGCCTTAGCCACTTGAGCCACAGGCGCCGAGCCTCAGGCTGGTCTTGAACTCCTGAGCTCAGGTGATCCACCCACCTTGGCCTCCCAAAGTGCTAGGATTATAGGCGTGAGCCACCTCGCCTGGCCTCGAGTTTTCAAATGTAACTGTGTATTTGTGCATGGAACTCTTCTTTTAGTGTAGTATCTATAAATTGCCCACCCTTCACAATGCACACTTTGGAAACAAGCCTATACCGTCGGCCTTCTGTAGGAGGACCTGACTAGGCACTGGGGATCCAGGGCCTGGGCAAGGTCCCTGCTCTCACAGACCTTGCATTCTATAGTGGAGATAGACATTAAACCACTGACTCCCCCATTAGTTACTTATGAACAATTGTGATAAGTGCTACAGAGGAGGAGGGCTATGAGGAGTACTTGAAGGGGATCAATTAAAATATGAAGTAATAACAGTGGAAGTGGCACAACAGTAGAGGTGCCAAAATTCACAAGGGAGATAATAAGAGTTGCACATTGAAAAGATTACTTTGCAACTCTTGGAGGGCAATTTGGGAGGGGGCCAGATTGGAAGCAGGGACCACAACATATCAGATTAATCCAAGCAAAATGTTCAGATTAATAGGCTTATGAGCAAGGGAGAGAAGTAGACTGATTGAGATACAATCAGCTGGGCTAATGAGAAATGATGAGAGGAAGATGTGAGGATGGAACTTTTCTAGCTGAATGGAGATGAGTTCATGGAGAAGCTTGTGAGGCATCCGACTGCAGATGTCCAGGTAGGTGGCTGTAGGTCACTTATCTTTGAGACAGCTTGACTTTTGTAAAATAGGTGACTGTACAGAACTATCGTGAGAATTCAGAGCTAGGTACACAGAAGATGCCCCCTAAGAGGAATTTTATTCCCTGACTCACCTCCCCCAACTCCAATAGGGTATCAGGGGTACAGTGGTGGATAGAGCCAAGTCGAGTTTACCAGGAGGTCCAGTTCTTTTTGGTCTCTTGCATCGCCCCTTCCGTCTGGACAATCCCTGGCTCATAGTAGACGCTCAATAAATATAATGAATCCAGGCCCTTGAGACCCAGGGCTACACGTATACGACTGAAAACTGGGGCTGAACTTAGTTGAAAAATTTAAAAAACTTTAATAAGTGGGCGTGAAATAATGCATAAATTGCAGGTTCTGGACAAAGGCTGGGGAGGGTATTCCACCCGCTAAGAGGCTTCAGGGCTGGGCTCACAACGAGGCGCTGGTGAGAACTCTGGGGTCCCGGCTGCCACAGCATCTATAGCTTCTAAGAAACGCAGCGTGGGACACCAGCTCCGCCCTTGCCACCGTAGGTCCCGCGGAGGCCTTTAAAGGGCCACCACGTGGCCGCGTGGCCAGCCAGGTCTGGAGGCGGCGTGCGGACAGCGCCTGCGCACCTCCTGGCAGAGAGGTTCGGGGTTCCGAGAAAAGGCGCCGGGAGAGGAAGGGGAGGTTGCGGTGGGTGGGATGCTGTGGGAGGAGTCAGCTTCTTATGCAAATCATAGGCTCGCGCGCGGGCCGGGGGGCAGGGTTTGAGATGCAAAGCAGGGTCCGCCTTTCAAACCACGAGGGGGCGGACCGCAACCCTCGGCCTCTTTCCGTGAGCACTGACGTCACCTACGTCCGGTTTAAAAGCGGCCGCGCAGGCGCAGTGAGCCGAAATGCGAACTTAGGCTGTTACACAACTGCTAGGATCTGTTCTCTCCGCCCGCCCGGCAGTCAGGCAGCTTCGCCGTCGCTGTCGCCGCCTCAGCGGTTCCAGGAGTCTCCGGCCCGCCGACGCCGCTTGCCCGCGACTCCGTGAGTCTATAGGAGCCCGGTCCGCCCGTCTGCGCCTCCCCCACGCCGCCTCG